TGGCACCGAATCCAATTAGAATCGCCATCAAGAGAGCAAACGCCAACCATGTCTCGGAATTAGAGTTCCCGTCCAATAATGGAGAAAAGAAAGGAAAGAGAGTGTCGGTGTTTCAAAGACTCGGTCCAGTTCAGAAGTCTAGGGGCAAACAATCTGTGTTTAAGCGACTTGGATCATCTAAACCGTCAAAGCCTTTAAGACAAGAAAGAGGCGCGGGCCCGGCTCCAAAGCTTAGAAGTTGGATTCCGTCACGCATGAAGCGTCAAACTACCTTAATCATATCATGTGGGGAAGTTTTTGAGCACACGATCGTTCATACAAGAGTGCAGGATGATGAAGGTGAAGATAGAGAAAGTGTCGCTTCGTCTTACTATGCTTGCGGTACTCTTGCAACTCCTCGAGATGATGGAAGTTCTCTTTACCGAAAAATAGCTTATTTAGTGAGAAAAGGGTATATCACTGGAGTTGATGAAAATCTGCAGACACGATTTGTCGCAGGAAGAAATGGACGTGTGAGACCATGCATCGACTTCAAAACTCCTAGTGAGCCGATCGAAGATATTGCACTTGTGAACCACATCACTATATGTGAGGATACTCTGATAGAAGAGGAAGACGCTGAAGACGCACCTCCCGAGCTTGAAGAAGGTGTTAAGGCCACAGTCGATGAACTAAAAGAAATCAACTTGGGTGATGTTGATGATCCTCGCCCAACATACATTAGCGCCTTGTTAAGTGTAGATGAAGAGAAGGCCTACATAGAGCTCCTTGGTGAGTTTAAGGATGTGTTTGCATGGTCGTATAAAGAGATGCCTGGACTAGACCCAAAGGTGGCGGTGCATAATCTGTCCGTGAGAAAGGGGGCAAAACCTGTTAAACAAGCACAAAGAAGATTTCGTCCCGAGTTGATCCCGTTGATTGAAGCAGAAGTGAATAAACTCATTGAAGTTGGTTTCATTCGGGAGGTCAAATATCCTACGTGGATCTCGAGCATCGTTCCTGTCAGGAAGAAAAATGGTCAAATTCGAGTTTGCGTAGATTTTCGAGATCTTAACGAAGCGTGTCCCAAGGACGACTTCCCATTGCCTATAACTGAACTCATGATCGATGCTACGACGGGACATGAAGCGTTGTCTTTTATGGATGGTTCGTCAGGATACAACCAAATACGCATGTCGCCGAAAGACGAAGAGTTGACGGCATTTCGCACTCCAAAGGGCATATACTGCTATAAGGTGATGCCATTCGGCTTGAAGAACGCGGGAGCTACATATCAAAGGGCAATGCAAAAGATATTTGACGATATACTACACAAGAACATCGAGTGCTATGTTGATGATGTGGTGGTGAAGTCGAAGAAGCGAGAAGACCACCTCGAAGATTTAAGAATGGTTTTTGAACGCCTGAGAAGATATCAACTCAAAATGAACCCGTTGAAGTGTGCATTTGGTGTTAAGTCGGGGAAGTTTCTTGGATTCATTGTCCGTCATCGTGGAATAGAAATCGAGCAAGCAAAAGTCGATGCGATACTAAGAATGCCCGAGCCTCGCAACATTCATGAGCTTAAAAGTCTACAAGGGAAGTTGGCATACCTTCGAAGGTTCATCTCAAATTTAGCCGGACGATGCCAACCTTTTAGTCATCTAATGAAGAAAGGTGTTCCTTTTGAGTGGGATCAATCTTGTACAAATGCTTTTGAAAGCATAAAGACATATTTGATGAAGTCTCCCGTGTTAGTCGCACCAGTGGCTGGTCGTCCTCTTATTCTCTACATAGCAGCACAAGAACGTTCTGTTGGAGCTCTGCTGGCTCAAGAAAATGAAAATGGAAAGGAGAGCGCCTTATATTATTTGAGCAGAACGATGACACCAAATGAGTTGAACTATTCACCTATCGAGAAAATCTGTTTGGCGCTGATCTTTGCAATTCAAAAGTTGAAGCACTATTTTCAAGCTCATACGGTTCGTCTTGTTTCAAGGGCAAATCCATTGAAATATGTCATGACAAGACCCGTCCTCTCAGACCGTTTAGCTAGGTGGTATCTTCAACTTCAACAGTTCGAAATTGTCTACATCCCTCAAAAGGCGGTAAAAGGACAAGTTCTGGCGGACTTCTTAGCCGATCACCCTATTCCTGCTGAGTGGGAGTTGTCCGATGAGCTACCTGATGAGGATGTTCTTCTCGTCGAAATTGCTCCTCCTTGGAAGATGTACTTTGATGGAGCGTCTCATAGAGAAGGAGCTGGTGCTGGAGTTGTCTTTGTGACATCCCATGGAGAAGTGCTTCCGTATTCCTTCACTTTAACTGAAAATTGCTCAAACAACGTCGCAGAGTATCAAGCTCTAATCCTGGGGTTGGAGATGGCCGTGGACATGAAGCAACTACATCTGAAGGTCTATGGAGATTCAAAGCTGGTGGTAAACCAACTTCTTGGAGAATACGATGTAAAGAAGCCTGAGCTGCTCCCGTACGTCGACTATGCGAATAGGCTCATGGGATGGCTTGGAGATGTTACGATCGAACATGTGCCGAGGAAGAATAATAAACAAGCAGATGCTTTGGCGAAACTCGCTTCTTCACTCATCCTTCCTGAGGATAGGGCTCGAGTGCAAATTTGTAGAAGTTGGGTTATACCTCCGATTTTCGACGATGATGATTGGAATGAAGATGAAACACATGTGGTTGAAGTTTTCGATATTGAAAAGGAAGATTGGCGTCAATTGCTCGTGGATTACTTGAAGTATGACAAGTTGCCCAATGATCCACGACAAAGGGTTGATATTCGACGTCGCGCGCCTCGCTTCATTTATTTCAATGATGTATTGTATAGACGATCGTTCGATGGAGTATTCTTAAGATGCCTAGGCGACGAAGAAGCTGCTCAAGCTATTGAAGAGGCTCACTCGGGCATCTGTGGCGCTCATCAGTCTGGTCCGAAGTTGCACTTTCGAATTAAGAGAATGGGATACTACTGGCCGACAATGGTTAGAGATTGTATGGATTATGCCCAAAGATGTCAAGCGTGTCAATATCATGCAAATTTGATCCATCAACCTCCTGAGCCGTTGCACCCTACTGTTGCTTCATGGCCTTTTGATGCTTGGGGATTAGATGTGGTTGGTCCTCTGACAAAGTCTTCGGGTGGTCATCTTTATATTCTGGCTGCGACTGACTACTTCTCAAAATGGGCTGAAGCGGTTCCCTTGAAGGAAGTGAAGAAAGAAAATGTTGCTGACTTCATTCGTGTAAACATCATCTACCGATATGGAATCCCACGGTACATCATAACGGATAATGGAAAGCCTTTCAGCAACAGCCTAATCGATAAGCTTTGCGAGAAGTTCAACTTTAAGCAAAGAAAGTCTTCTATGTACAATGCGGCGGCCAATGGACTCGCTGAAGCGTTCAATAAGACTTTATGTAGTCTTTTGAAGAAGGTCGTAGCTAAGTCAAAGAAGGATTGGCACGAAAGAATTCATGAAGCGCTTTGGGCGTATCGCACCACTTATCGGACTCCCACTCAAGCGACCCCGTACTCACTTGTATATGGTGTTGAAGCTGTCGTTCCTCTCGAGCAACAAATTCCATCATTGAGGATCGCCATACAAGAAGGGTTGACTGAAGAAGATAATGCACGACTGCGCCTTCAGGAATTAGAAGCTCTTGATGAGAGGAGGTTGGAAGCGCAACAAAGACTTGAATGTTATCAAGCTCGTCTTTCAAAGTCGTTCAATAAGAAGGTCCGAGCTCGTTCTTTTCAAGTAGGAGATCTGGTGCTTGCTGTGAGAAGACCCATCATAACTACTCATCGTGTTGGGAACAAATTCGTGTCAAGATGGGATGGACCGTATGTCGTCACGGAAGTCTACACCAATGGCGCGTATAAGTTGATTTCGGAGGATCGAGTCAAGATTGGCCCTATCAATGGGAAATTCTTGAAACGCTACTACGCTTAGTTGTACTATGTATTAATTTAAAAAAAAAAAAAAAAAAAAAAAAAAAAAAAAAAAAAAAAAAAAAAAAAAAAAAAAAAAAAAAAAAAAAAAAAAAAAAAAAAAAAAAAAAAAAAAAAAAAAAAAAAAAAAAAAAAAAAAAAAAAAAAAAAAAAAAAAAAAAAAAAAAAAAAAAAAAAAAAAAAAAAAAAAAAAAAAAAAAAAAAAAAAAAAAAAAAAAAAAAAAAAAAAAAAAAAAAAAAAAAAAAAAAAAAAAAAAAAAAAAAAAAAAAAAAAAAAAAAAAAAAAAAAAAAAAAAAAAAAAAAAAAAAAAAAAAAAAAAAAAAAAAAAAAAAAAAAAAAAAAAAAAAAAAAAAAAAAAAAAAAAAAAAAAAAAAAAAAAAAAAAAAAAAAAAAAAAAAAAAAAAAAAAAAAAAAAAAAAAAAAAAAAAAAAAAAAAAAAAAAAAAAAAAAAAAAAAAAAAAAAAAAAAAAAAAAAAAAAAAAAAAAAAAAAAAAAAAAAAAAAAAAAAAAAAAAAAAAAAAGAAAAAAAAAAACCAAAAAAGAGAAGAAGAACTCCTGACCCGCATGAGTATAAACTGTGAACGGTAATCACCAAAAAGCTTTGCATGTGATTAAACTGCTAAAATTCTCCACCAATGTGAATATATGTGGTTAAACTGTTAATTCTCCACTAAGGTGTTATGTGGTTAAACCTAATACTCTACTTTGTCTAAAAGTAGTTAAAGAATAGTCACTCCTGGCCCGCATGAGTATAAACTGTGTACGGCACCCCCCCTAAACAAATCCATGTTACTTTGAACTACGTTTTGACTTGATCCTTTTAAAAGGTACGTAGGCAGCTTAGATATTTTCTAAGTTCAGTCATAAATTATGTTCGTCTTCTAAGTTAGTCAATTTTGATTGATTTGGCGAGGAAATGAAGTGCAACAAATGCTAATGTTCGAGATTGAGATTGCACGATGTAAAAAGAAACGAATCATTCCATTCCATAACCTTGAGTCTTATTACATGAAGAAATAAGCAAAAGAGTCGCAAACATCACTAAACAAAAAGATTCAAGCTTCCTAGTTTCTCTTTAGTCGCCTTCAAATTTGACTTCAACATCTTCAACTGTTCAACCACTTCTTCGTCCAACGATGGAGCACTGCTGATGGCGAGGATATTCTCTTGAGTTAATTTCACCTGGGCCTTGGCACTGTCGAGTGACTCCTGCTGCTGCTTCAATGTCTTGGATAGTGTTTCTGCCTTTGTCTTCAACTGCTCAAGCTCTTCCGTGACTCGCTTTAGCTCATCCTGAGTGGACTTCACTTGATTTGATTCAGTATCTTCTTTCGCCTTATCTTCACAAAGACGATCTTTAGCCTCGGCCAACTGTCGAGCAATATGTTCCTTCGTCGCCTTCTCCGAAGATTTAGACCGTACTCCGTCATAAGAGTCGGCGTTGTCAAACAAAACCTTAAATGAGCTCTCAATAGTGGAAAGGTCACACTTGTCGCATTGCCTCATAGCATCAAAAACGAGTGACACCTCTTCTTTTATGGAAGACAAGAAATCGATAGGAGTCGCCATGACCTTGTCACGGAGGTCGTGCCACATGCCTTGAAGATACTTCTTTTGACGGTCAAGAATGAACTTCTCCCCTTTAAACTCTGAAGCGGCTGGAGTATGAAGATTTTGTTGAGCAGTAAGTTTCTTCGCACACGTTGGAACATTTGCTACGGAAGTCGCTTCATCGTCTTGAGACTCTTCGTCATCGTCAGAACCAAAGACGTCCCGTTGAGCCTGAAAAGCAGAAATGAAAAATGTATATCCATTAGAAAGAGAACTCGAGGTAGGAGTAAAAGAAGAAGATATAGACTTGGGAAAACCTTAGCAATGAGGTCCTCTGTCTCATGTTGATTTTCGACTGTTTTCTCCACGTGCTGCGAAGAATCAGTCGTTCGCTTTGTTCTCTTCCAATGTCGATCGGGATTGCTACTTTCTACTAAAGAGGTGGACCCACTCTTTCTCTTGCTGTTCCCAGGAATTCTGGCGAGAAGCGCATCATCATCTTCACTTGCAGGATCACCCTCGTCAACAACTAGCTCCTTGTCTTTCGAAGATATCACTTTGGGCTTTGATGCAAGTAAATCCTCTATATGGCGCTCAAGATAGCCTCCATGAACTTGGTGCCACCATGACTTGTAAGCTGGTGTTGATTTCTTCGCATTTGTTGAGGCACAAGGCAATGAAGCTTTGGATAAGGATCCGCATAGAACGCTCAGTTGCCAATAGTGAATGCCATCGTCGAGAGAGCCCTCACGAAAGTCTTTCTTCAAAATGCCGGGAACATCTTGATAATACCCAAATTGACGACTGAATCGATGAGGACTATATGGCTCTATAAAAAAGCGATTGCCTTGACGCCACGTTAGGTAGTTAGACCGAATCGCCATGAAGTATCTCCATTCGTATCCAGGTCTTCGTTGATCATCGACGTATCGGGAAGTCTGGTCATTGATGATGATATTGCAAGTCCATAAAGCGGAGTCCCCCTTGTGGATACGTCTGCGGGCTTCCTCGGGCTCAAAGTGTCTTGCGCCGTTCTCACCGGAATATGTCACCATCATGGGCTTGCGCGTCTGACCAATTGCGAAGTGAGTTTTAAAATAGAGTGCCAGCCAGCCGTAAACAAAGTGGACGGGAAAAATCGATCGAGATGGACTTATGCAGCTTGTAAATTCGTTCAGCCCCTTGTAGATGCTCGTCAACACCGGAACCGCGAGACCAACCGTCTGACCCTTGACCATCATGCTTGCCATCTTGAAGGTGCCCGGACGAATTATGTCGACATCGTTGTTAGGAAGAACGAATGTGCATATCCAACAGGAGAGGTAGGCCGCCAAATGAATTTCTTCTTGCAGCTTTGACTCGGTCACGACCATCTTCTTGAACAATAGATCTTCGGCGGAGGTCCAGCGTCGATGTTCTTCGAAGGTGCCGGGCGGATTATAAGTTGACTTGAGGCGAATTATCCTCTTCTTCTCTCCGTTCCTCTTGTCAGCACGATTGGGGGGTTGTTTGTATTTGATGGGCTTCTTCGACCAAAATTGCACCCATCGATCGATTGACACTTGTCTGTCGCCGGTTTCTTTGCACAATAAATGATAGGCGTGGAAAAGGTATCTGCAGCAGCGGGGGAGGCATAAATTCTTGTCTTTGTTGATCCCGACCAACTCGTCTACATCCGGCACCACCTCGTCGAAAATAAACCCACTCGATGGAAGTCCTGCTAATGTATGTAGGTCCCATAGCGAAATTGAAAGCTCCCCGGAAGATGTTAAAAGTGTGTTGGTAGAAGGACACCACGCCTCGCAGAATGCCTTGATGATCTCGGGATTGCAGTCGTAGGTGAAAAGCGAAGCGTAAACAGCATCATAGATCTCTGCCTTGATTAGGTTGCTCTTGCACCGGCTAAGTATGTCTTCAGTCCATTCCCAGTATCCTCGCGTGTAGTGAAATTCGCCGGCAAAGTTGATGGTTTCTCCCCATGCAGCTTCACCTCGTGTGATGCGTCGTCCTAAAGTAGGCAATGGCGACGGCTCTGTCTCGTTCTGCTGGTTGTGGTGAGTCGCTTGCAAGATCCATGCTTTGGACTTCCCGTAGGCACACTCTTGAGTCCACTCGCTCATGGAGTTTTTAACTTTTGGCCACGTCTTGGAAAAATCACCAATGATTGGGTCTTCAACTGCAAAACGGGTCCCTTTCTCTAGCGGTTGGTACTTGGTGTCGAGGACTACTAGATATCTTTTTTCCCGGATAGAAGTGCTTGTAAAGTAGACCATCTTGTTTGCTGAAATCACAAGAGTTAGAATAAAATTTGAGATTAGAATAGAAAAGAGAGCTAAGTAGCTTAGATTGAATAAGTTCGGTAAATTGACTTACAAGTATTTCCTCAAAGAAATTTGCTCGAAACTTGAAAGCTTGATGTCGACAAAAACGGGCCACGCACTAAAAGAAAAAATAAATAAAAGACGTGATTAATCAAAAGAAAAAGGGGTAAGAGGAAAGAAAAAGAGCAGCAAACGGCTCCAAAACAGCCCCGAATCAACTCAAACGGCTCCAAAACAGCCCCGAATCAACTCAAACGGCTCCAAAACAGCCCCGTTTCGGCCCGAACAGCTCCAAAACAGCCCCGTTTCGGCCCGAACAGCTCCAAAACAGCCCCGTTTCGGCCCGAACAGCTCCCAAACAGCCCCGTTTCGGCCCGAACAGCTCCAAAACAGCCCCGAATCGCCTCGTTTCAGCCCGAACAGCACCAGAACACAGTCGTTTCGGTCCGGACAGCACCCGAGCCACTCCGTTTCAGCCCATATGAAGCCCCGACATCTCGTAAGAAGCCCCGACAGCAATAAGAGCGTCCCGACAAGCTTTGCGGATATCCCGAATGATAACTCGAACATAAATGTAACAGAAAGAAAGAAGACGGAACGGGAAGATAATGAAAAATCAGTTTGCTATTACCTTTCGGCCAATCTGTCGAACAGCTTGCAGTCAAAAGCTTGAGAGATGGTGCTTACGGATTCTGTTATGTAATACGCCCGATAATCAAAAGAAAAAGAGGAACATAGTTCAGCACTCAATAACCAAAAGAAAAAGAGTATCACGAAAAAAAAAGTAGAAGAAAAGCTGAAGTACCTGTCGGGCTTCGAATGTGAAAAAAAGAATTGAGAAGTGAAGGCCTATTTATAGATACAGAAAGTGATGCTTTGTCCTCTAAAAGAGAGGATTCACTATGTGAATTTAGGAAAATTTGTCTCCTAATATGAGGAGGAATTGGTCTAGATACGGGACGCATGTTTGAAGTTGGAAAGAAAATATTATGTGATGCAAGAGCATATACTCAAGGCCTGTGTACGTATCTGTGGAGTTTACCTGTTTGGAAACTAAATATTTCAATTCCAAAGTTGAAATTAATTGATGCTCATGCGTATATATTCTTTTTTTCGTGGCCAGCATGCATGTGTTATGAATTCACTTGGAAAGTATTTATTTGCCCCATCATACATGGGTTGATTTTGTGGAAATAACTGTGCATATTTGATCAAATTAGAATGGATATTTGAGGATGGAAACAATCTTTTTTTATTATGTTGAGGCTTGCACATGATAATGCTGAGGGTTTGTCCATGTCGGTCTTGCTGCTATGAAAACGTACAGGTAGAAATATTTTCCTTATGTTGAGGACAATTTTATTTCTTTCCTGAAGCAATGATATGATGCTGCAAGGGATTTTAATTAAATGGGCCAAAAATGTATTTGAGAAGGTTGAGAGGAGATGGGTCGTGTGATAGTTGAGGCCCAATTTATATTTAAGGAGCGGAATTTGATTTGGTATTTGCATATAAAAGGCCCAATAAAGAAGTCGCGACTTATTCACTCCAAGACAGGTCGTCCGTGAACAAGTCTCGAGGGGGCATTTGTAGAGACATAAAATTTGTGGCCAATCAAATGGCGCCACGTGGAAATTAATTTATTAAAAATCAAGTCATATTTTCTATTTATATTTTAGGAATTTCCATATATTTAATTCCTAAATTTAAATAGTTAATTAATTGATATTTTAATATTTTAATTCTTGACCAATCAAATAATGCCAAGTGTCAAATCTTAATTCTTGGTAATAAATCATATGGCATCTAGAAGATCTTGGAAGATCTAAGTAGATCTAAAAGATCTTATGTGAATCATCATGGACCAATCAAATCGTGTCCTACGATTCTTAAATTTGGTAGGGTTCTCCATCCTACACCTATAAATAGGGGCTCTCCCTAATGTCAAAAACACACATCATATTTCATATTCAAAGTTCAAGAGCTCTAGAGAATTCTCTCGACGAGATTCAAGTGTTCTTGAAGATTCAAAGGCGTTCTTGAAGATTCGAAGCAAGATTCAAGCGCATTCAACCTCAAGACTGGCGTTCAATCCGGAAACAAGCTGCAAAGCCTCCGAATAACGTTAGTAAATTCAAAACCGGCGTAGAGAAGATTCAAGATCTACTTTGCGACGAAGACCAAGGATTCGTGTTCTTCGCGTTCTTGGGATATTTCGACGTTTGATCCGAAATCAAGGCGTTGGCCCTCGGATTAACGTTAATTCAAGTCAAATCAAGTCAAGGAGAAGATCAAGCCGAAGATTTCGCTCCAAGACTTAAAATTGTTCGTGAGAAGAATCAGAGGAGATATTAGAGATTGTAACCCATTATATTTATTTTGATTCAAGAAATTCATTTGAATAATATTTTTCGTGTTTATAAATTCAATACACGAAATTTGTTGTTACAAATTTTTGGCACGCCCGGTGGGACCTCTCTACCTCTCATCTCTTCTTCAAAATTCCTCAAATCATCATGACTAGCCGCAAGGTCGCCATAGTCAAGATTCCTTCAACAAGTTCTTCAAGCTCCAACCTCGGCGTCGTTACAAGAAGCATGGCCAAGCAACTGCAAGCATCTTCGGAGACGACTCCTTTGCACGAGGTGATTGGAAGAGATAAGCTGCATCTTACCCACGAAGGCGATGAAGACGACTCCGCTTCATCAACTCCTCGCTCATCATCAAGCTCTTCATCAAATTCAAGCTCAAGTGTTGCTCCAGTTATGACAACTAATGCTTCAACTCTTGAAGAACACATCGCAAGCTTGACAAAGGTCATTGAAGGGCTCGCGAAGAAGGTCCAAGAGCAAGACTCTCAAATCTCAAAGCTAATGGACAAGGTTGACAATGCTGAAACGAGCCGCATGAAGGAAAAACAAGATGAAGATCGTGATGAGTCTGAAACTTCCAAACAGCAGCAATTTCACGAAAGAGAGAAGACTCCAACATTTCAACATTCGTCTGATGGAATGATCCCCATTGATCAACTGAAGGATTTCATCATGGGGACAATTAAAGATAAGCTTGATGGTGGTTCCAAGTCAACTCACACCTATGCCAAGCCATATACTCCAAGGATCGATAACTTGAGGATGCCTATTGGATATCAACCTCCCAAGTTCCAGCAGTTTGATGGCAAAGGCAACCCGAAGCAGCATATAGCCCACTTTATTGAGACATGCAACGATGCAGGAACCCATGGTGACTATCTCGTGAAGCAGTTTGTTCGTTCACTCAAAGGGGTTGCATTCGACTGGTACACTGATTTGGAAGCAAACTCCATCGATAGTTGGGAGCAAATGGAACACGAATTTCTT